GCTGGGGGCGGGCCCCTCCCACTGACGCCGTCCTGGTACCGGCCAGATGGACCAGGGCGCGTCAGTCACGGGGATTAACAAAACACGAGGACGACGGGCGGTAAAAGAGCACGTGGGGCAGTGGCGGCACACTCCGCGCCGCGTCAGCGCTGACACCTGTCCGGACTCTTGCTGTTGGCGGCAGCTGCAGCAGCCGGTGGTACAATGAGAGCGACTACCGGCCGCAGCTGCAGGTGGGCCCCGGGCGGTGGCGGGGCGGCGGCGGCGGAGAGCACCCGGCGGGAGGTGCAGCGGAGGCGAAGCAGTGTGTCGCCCCAGGCCGGCGGCGGCGCGCGCGGCCACTGGACTCGGAGACAGGTCGGCGTCGACCACACAAAAGCTCACGTGATTGCAATTCTTGTTTTATTTATCATCGAGTTATCAGTCCACACACCCACAAAAGAAAATATGCTGTTGCCGCGCCGAGCCGCCACCACTGCTGTGCGTGGAAATAAAAATCAACTGTGCAAAACAACCGAATGCGAAATGTTCGTTCAATTGATTCGCATTCTCTGTTCGTTCTTGTTTTGGTGTTTTGAATGGACTCTGCGCGGTGCCTTCCCTCCTTACGGCGGCAGGCTGCATAGTTGTGGCAATGCAATCAGGGAGCACTAATTACAGGAATCAGCATGAAAGAGGAGCCCCCAGTCAGCAGGCCAGCCGTCCCCGCCGCCCCCGCCGCAGCCGCGCTCTCCTCGACCTCGGCCGCACAACGGCAAACTTCATCCCAGCAGGCCCACCAGGTAATCAGACTGAATAGCGGCCGTGGCCGGGGCCGTGGCCGGGGCCGTGTCCGCGAATAACGATGCTGCGCCCGGCAGCGGCGCCCGTCACCCTTCCACCCGCCCACTGCCCCCTAGTCACCCAGCAGCATCACCACCCTCACCCCCCCTCCCCTTCAACTCCGTACCCTCTCCCAGTTCGCTCACACCGGAAGGAACAGAGCAGACTGCACGCTGTAATGGCCGAAGTCGTACATGTGAGCCCCGAGGCTCTCGGCTCTGCGCTACCTCCACGGGGAGGCACTAGATGTAATGGATACTTAGCATCTTTGCGGCCCGAGGCAACTTGCACTCGGCCAGTGTGTGTCAGTAGTCATCCTTTTCCTCTTCGTCACGTCGACATCTCATTCCATTCAGAAATACAGTGTATCATTCCTGTGAGTTCAAAGTTCTCAGCAAACATGTGCTTTTTAACAAGTTCTATGGTACTGTTTTGTACAGAGCTTAAGTAAGTCGATGTGCATGCGTAGCGCACGAAAAATTTCTTACGAATTAATATACGGATTCGTCGAAATAATTGTGCAAAAATTGTTCATAAGTAGGTAAGAACTTTGTACCCAAAGTACGCATGCGCATATACTTTCGTATAGCTTTGTATAAAATAGAACAGAAAAATGTAGTTTGCGGAGGAAACATGACTTTACTTCTTTCCATATGCGAAGGAACCGTGCTCGTGCCTCGACATCCACGACCCCTGCGACCCGTCCGGCGTCGGCTCGGATACGAGCTTCAGGACAGCCCTCGACCATGCCGACGAGCCCCCGGATGGAGAGGCCTTGCTGACCGTGCTGCTCAGGCGCTCCATGCGCGCGCTCCGCGACACCCTGCGGCTGGCCGCGCTGTGGACGCCGGACGCTTGCGAGGTCAGTGCTCAGGAGAGGCAACTATATTCTACGCTGAGTATGACACGCCGTAAAACAGGGAAAACATCTCATACCCCAAGCAGCGTGGCGAGTTTGCTTACTATGACAAATATCTTCGTAAATAACTCGTTACAACAGATTTTGTATTTACGATATACAGAATATGTTGTAAGTTTACGTCAATGAATTCTATCGATGCATACTTACGTTGGTGCTTGTAATTTTACAATTTTAGTCAGTACTAATTTTACAACACTCATCATGCAAGTGTATCCGGTCACCGCTTACAACAACTTCTCACGGTGGTTGTATCCTATCGTCGACTTAAGGCTCCAAAAGACTTACGACTGATGGTCTGCAAGCCCGCAAAACTACTATTCTCCTGATATAACCGGTTCGTCAGTTGTCACGGTGCGCTTGTGTCGGCCAGAGGTTCCAGTACTCGTCCGGGCGCCTGGGGCGCGCGTGTGACCTGCTGGGCGGCGGCAGCGAGCTGAGCCTGAGCGCCAGCGAGCGCGGAATCATGCGGGCGTGAGTACAAAAAAACCGAGGCCGCAATTAGAAGCGAGCGCGGCGCCGAGCCGAGGCCTCGCGGGCCCCAGGCCTCGGCCAGGTGCGCCTGCCAGCCTGCCGCGAAATCAAAGGCCGGGCCCGGGGCGTGCACAAGTTGGCCGCCAGTCAAAGTAGTGCATTTAGTTCCCCCTACCCCGCCCTTCCCTTGGGACACTCCCCTCCCGACTGCGGCGCTCCTCGCCGTCTCTATGCCGCTCCATGCAAACTTTGAGCTCTGCGCTCTGCACGCACCGCGGCCAAACAGAAAAGGGTTTCGCGCGCTGGCGGGGGTGCCCCGTGTTGAGTACGTGCGTCCCGTGGCATGAGAAAGAGTAGTTTTGTATTTGAAGGGAAACCCCTAACCGGCATCCTCCTCGGGCTCGTGTGTTGTCTGCCGAACTTGTGTGGGGCGAGGGCTCCTGCCTATGAATGTTTAAGGGGTATGCCGCAGGTACGGTGCAGGTATGCAGGCACAGGCTTTCATTAATGCAGCAATTAGGAACCTAACCCGCCTATATACACACCGCAGGCTGCTTGTCTAATGATCGTCGTGCGACTCTCTCTCTCTCTCTCTCTCTCTCTCTCTTTCGCCTCGTCTCCCTGCTTCTGTCTCTCTCACCTCGTCTCCCAGCCTCTCTTAATTTGCTGAAATGCTTGTATGATAAAATACCTAAGCAAATCCTCTGCATATTGTAGTCTAAAACTAAAAATACTTCAACACTTCAATACTTCAATCTGCCCCTCCCCCCCCCTCTCTCTCTCTCTCTCTCTCTCTCCCCCTCTCCCTCTCCCACTCTCTCTCTATCTCTCTATCTCGATCTACTATGAAAAGTTGTCATGGTTAAAGATTGGGGATAAAAGAAGTCTCCATACATCTCGTGTGCTATGGAATATCTTGAGAAAGAAGAAACCATTTCATCTATTTGGAAAATATTGTTATTGTTCTAGAGTTAATGAGACAGTCTCAAGAAACTCACAGTACCTGCTACAGCTAACAAAGCATAGAACTGTCAAGTATGCAAAACTTTTTTTGTGAACTCCTGTACCGAGGGGGAAATCACTTGCGAAATAATTCGTACACCTTCCCCCGAAATAGTCCGAAATAAGGGCGAAATAGAGGCGAGATAGAGCGAAATAAAAACGAAATAGACGCGAAATAGTCGGTGAAATAGTCGCGAAATACCCCTGAAATACTCCGAAATAGCGCGAAATAGCCTGAAATAATCGTAAATAGGCGGGAAATAGCCGAAATGGCGGGAGAAAAACCGAAATGGTAGGAGAAATACCACGAAATAGTCCGTACGCTACGAACCCCAGTGATTTCCCCCTCGTCCTGTACAGATTTTAACAAATTGAAGCTATCTGATATTATCAACTACTACTACACAACCGTACAAAACTTTTAAACTCAAAGTCATAAAAACTTAATTATGTGCACTCTGTGTTCACAAGCTACAAAACTATTCTATATTTTTATTACTTTTTCTTATTACTTTATAAGTTTAGTCCTACTGTGCCCAAATTTTAAAAAGAAATTGAATTGAACTCTCCCTCTCTCTCAAACAGGACTTTGATGAGCAAGATAGGTCACTGAGACAGTCGAGACAAAACTGTTACTGTGTACACTTTCCTCTCAGTAACAGATGCAGCTGCTATGAACAAAATAAAACTACTCACTGCTGACTCGCTGTCCCGGCCGCTGTCCGCAGGGGCCCGCGGCCAGACGAGCTGTCCCGCAAGATGGCGCCCCCCCTGAGGGTCCTGAGGGAGGACATGGCAGCGCTGGCGGCCGGGCTGGCCAGCTTCCACCGCGCGGGCGCATCGCGCAACCGGCCACCTTGAGGAAGAGAGAGCGGGAGAGAATGGGGGGGAAGGGGGGAGGATAAAAATGAAAAAGAAACAAGAAAAAGCGGTAAAATTAATTAGCACGGCAGATTCTAACAAGAGAGAATTACAAAAGATTTTTCAATAAAGAAGTGAACACGGCGGGGGTCTAAACACACGTTGTCGTTTTCATTCCGAATATTTTCCCCCCTAGAAACAACTTGGTCTCTTTTGATTCGTGCTTCCCAGCTTTTTTTGTGTGTCAGGTCGGCGACAGGTGGGCGGGTGCCTCCGTTCCGCTGTTTACGGAGGGATGCCAGCTCGCTCGGGACCCGACGACTCACACGGGCTGCGTTTACACGCAGGAGCAGGTGAAAAGACCCCGCGTCCCGTAAACCGCGCACTCGGTGCCCGGGGGTGGGGTGGGAGGGGGCCGTAAACTTCACCCTATCCAAAAGCAAACTAACGAGGGCAAGAGTCACAAACAATGGCGTGCAGTTGCGCACGCACAGGCGAGCGTATGGACCTACGCTCATTGCTGCATATCTCCGCTCGGCACCGCGGTGGCGGTGGGCGCGGTGGACATCGCGCGCGGGTGGCGCCGGAAACTCTAAATATTTGCGCCGCCGGCTAATCTATCAATATGATGCGGCATAATGTGCCACCTGCAAACAGGGGTGGGTGGATGGGGGGTTGGGGGGAGTGGAGGTTGTCGCCCCGCAGGGACAATGGTCGGGGCGGGGCGAGACGGGGTGGGGTGCGTCGGGGCGGGGTGCGCGAGTGGCGGACGCGCGCGAGGAGTCTTCAAAGTTGGATGTAATTAATGGTGATAATTCCGGTCTTTACGAGGGAGTGTTGGCTGCTTGTCGCGCTGCCTGCTGCTCGGGCTGAATTTTCTCCGCCACTCTGTCTTTCTCTCCTCCCGCTCTCTATCTCTCTCTCTCTCTCTCTCTCCTGCCGCCACGCCACGACGTCAACTTGTCACGGCGGTGCCGCCCGACATGGGGTGCGGTGGGGCGTGGCGGCGTGCACCGCGACGTGGCGGGGCGTGGCGGGGCGCGGCGGGGCGTGGTCGGGCGTGGCGGAGAGCAACGGACCTCGCCTAATTAACCCGCGTGGAGTGTGTTCCGGTGTTCCGACGCGCGACAACACTATGATGGTTCAAGTTGACGTACTCTGTGAGGACGGAGTCGAGTCACACCTCTGCAACGTGTCAGTCACTGTCGCCGAGGCGGGGGAAATATTTTGAGCAACTTAAAAAAGAAATGTTTCTATGACTTTCTCGCAGCTAGAAAAAATACGGCACGTCCGTCCAACCAAAAAGGGTGGTGGGTGGTGGTCTACGTTATTATTTTCCTCCTCCGGCAGTGAGGTGGAGGCAGGTGCTTTCATAGACTCGCAAAACACGGCGAACAAAATGTTAAGATTCCATTGGAGAATTCCTACTAAGAACCCAGACGGCGCGGAATGTTTTCTCTTTCTCCTTTTCTTTTCTATGTCGGTCCTCTTATCATGACCCGCTCCTCCCCTCGCCGCTCTGCAGGTGAGGCGGAGGGGACAAGTTCCTCGTCATTAGTTAGTTGTCTCGTCGTCTCGTCACCTGGTCCAACACGAGCGGCAGAGAGGGGGGAAGCATTTTAATCCTCGGAGATAGTGGCCTTGAGCGCGGCGCGCAGCGGGGCCGCGGGTCCCTCCGGGTCATCGTCATCTACACCTCGGCGCCCCACTTTCATCAGCGGTTTGCCCCCGATCGAAGCGACATGGCTGGTGATTACGCCCCTCGACAGAACACGACCCGTCCGTCCCCGCACAGTCCCAGGTGTATAAAGAGCATATTGCGTCGATAACTACCTCCCAGCGGACGGGCAGGACAGGCAACACCGGCCGCCTGTAAACTCATGTGCCCGGCCCGATCGGTATCGGACTAATTCTTTGAGTACGAGACGAGGAAGAGTGAGGGAGGTGGGGGAGCGTGTTGAGAGAGAGAGAGAGAGAGAGAGAGAGAGAGAGAGAGAGAGAGAGAGAGAGGTGGCAATCAAACCAGGCTAGCGTGATCGCTTGCGTTAGGGACGACCGCGAGCATAAAGGGACGGGGGACACCTCCTGGGTCCTATCGCGCTCCATGTTCGACCAAGATCCCTAGCCTCACAATTTATCGTTGGCAAATAGTTACCATTTATTGTTTATTTCATTATTTATAACGACACATTATTTTTTCAAATTAAACCAATGGGTTCGGGTGAACTTGTGTTCTGTACGCGCACGCTAGTATCGGTTGAACACCGCTTACCCCTAACCCCGCTGTTGTGGCACAGTGGCGGGATGCCCCCATCACGGGCCCTGCCCCTGCAGCACTGGCGCACCCTGGTGGGCAAAATCGCAAATCCTGTAAACAGTTTTACGACGGGTACCTACCTGGCCTGGGGGCCGGTGGCGAGGCCAGAGTTGGGGCCGGAAAGCATATATTGTTTGAGAAACACTAAAGCCAAGAGGAGACTTTACGACAGGAGCCGGTAGCCCCCGCCACGCCTCGCCGCTCCTCCTCGCCCTGTCGTGCCCATGGCTCCCGCTGGACTGCACAGCTCAGCCTGGCACAGATCAAGTTCATGCGAACCACTTATGGCGTTCCACAATAACGACGGAGACAACACATCGACACCTCCTACGCACAAGCAGCTATCTTCTTGAGCTGTACAGACAAGCAGCTATCTGTTTGAGGGTGGCGGACAAACAGCTATCTGTTTTTTGAGGAGGTTAGGGTTGGCCTGTTCTCCGTCCAATACGTTCTGTCAGTGACAAGTTAGGAACATCGGGAGTGTAATTCTATGTTTTGACAAACTAAAGGAAGGAGTTGACGCAACAGTAAATTGGCTCATTTGTGGAGAGAAATATGAATACCCAAAGTCGCTAGGTGGAAAAAGAAGTTAGCTGTTTGTCTGCGCAGCCCAAGAAGATAGCTGCTTGTCTGCACTGCTCAAGAAGATAGCTGCTTGTGCGTAGGAGGTGTCGACATCAGGAAAGCGAGGGGAGGCGGCTTTATTGTGGGAGGAATTCAAGGTAGGAGAGGTGAGCCCACCTGTAGGGACTGCATGCGGCTCGCAACGTCCACAGGCAGCGCCGGTGGGCGGGGAGCGAGCAGGAATCCAAGGATTCCGCATGACAGGAGTTTGAAGTAATGGCGTGTCGATCCCTGCCGGATTTATGGGAAAATCGTGAATATGGAGGAGGCGTAGAAACAAAGATTAGTGTGGGGCGCTGGAGATACTAGACGGTGGAAGAAATAAACCGTGACTCCCCCTCCACCTCTGGTCCCAGCTGCCCATTCCCATACTCCCCTCCCCCGCTACATCCTCTGACAGCGCGGCCCGACGTGTTAAGTCCGCATCGCGATCGGCTCTTTTTTTTTCGGTCGGGTTGCGCGGCAAAGCAAAATGACCGGGTGAACTTACTTGAGTACGAGATGAAGAAAATATGGGGAGTGTGTCTGCTGTCATCTCTTTGTCTGCTCCTTGCGCGGTCGCTCAGTCTCTCGCTCTTTCGCTGTCCCCAAGCAGACCGCCACTGTTCTTTGTGGACAAAAGCTCCGCCGTGTCCGAAGGGGACTGGAGGGGCCAGGAGTGCACAAAAAGGCTGGCTGCGTGGTGCGGCTCCAGCCTCGAACCTCCCTCCGACCGGCGCACGCCCCCGCCCCCAACTCCTACTGGGTGCGCCTGTGCCAGTCGGTCAGCGGGCCACGTGAGCAATGGTACAGCCGTGGCCGTGCTGTTGGCCGTAGACAACACCCTCACGACGGGGGCGGGGCGGGGGAGAGGAGGTTCCAGCTTAGCTGGTCGGCCGCCGTGTCGAAAAGTCACGAGGAGCTCGATCAAGACGTCGAGGGAACGGCGCCGGCTCGACGCGGTAGGGAGGGGTGGGAGGGGGGGATGCAGCGTGTGTGGCCCCGGGCCATTTGGGGTTGTTGCCTCAGTCAACACAAAGTTTGGGGGCGCATTAGGATGCAAAGAGGGTGGGGCCGAGTGGTCAGGCCGGGGGCGGGGGCGCCCCACAGGGACGTTAATGCCGACGGCTTGGAAGGCAAGACGGCGACAAACCACCCGCCACCCAGCAATATTGTGGTGGTGTTTGCGCTTGGGGTGCGCTCTCCGTTCGGCCCGGCCCGGAGAGCCCCGATCGGAGCGCCGGTTTGGGGCGGGGCGTGCGGCGTGTGCCCCTGTGGCATGATGGATCCCCGTGATCCCGATGAGTCGGGCGCTTTGTGCGGCCCGATCGCCGGGATGATGTACGCTGAGGGGCCGCTGATTTACACCCGGGCCGATCCCCGCGCGTGCCCCATCGCTCTTTTCTTTCTTCAAGTGCAAAGGGGGAAGGGGTGAGGCAGAGACGGGGCGGAGGGTGACAAGGGGAGGGCGAAAGAGACCGTTCGGTTCAGGCTAGGCAGGATCCTTTGCTGCAGGTGCGCGCCTGTGACCCCGGGTGGTCTCGCGAGCAGCAGGACTCTGGAGGTGCACTGATCGGCTCCTTGCGTCCTTGCCCAGACCCCTCCCGGCGAGGTCTCCCCCCACCTACTCCCCAATGGTCCTCGGCGGCGGTGAGGTGCTCGAACCAACTCGAAAACTTGGTCGTGGGACTCCAATCCTCTCAACAGGCTGACAATTAAGTTGGCTTGCCGGGCGGCTAACAACCCGAGGTGTGCACCGGCTCGGCATCGCCCGCCTCAGTCCCGTTTTGGGCCGCAGGTTGCCGCCAGACAGAGAAGCTTGATGTGGCACAGCCTGCCGGGCAGATCTTTCTTCCAGGGTACAGTGCCTGCCAGCATCTTCCGGAAATGTCCTGGGGGGACGAGTGGCCCCCAGGCCTGCCCTGCCTGCTACTCCACCCGGACTTGGCGTGACTGCCAGGACCTGTTGCACCCTCGAGTCGGGGAGTGTGGGGTGCACTGCAGCGCTGTACAGACCTTACAGACCCCGTGGCGCTGTAAGCCACACTTCAAGTCTAAATCTGTCTGGTCTGAGGAAGTCACAGTCAGACCGTAGTGGGCTTCTGGCACTTCCGCACCTCTGATTTCATTTACCGCTGCATGATACAGAAGTTGGGCCCTCCGACTCGAAATTGCACATTCCCTCAGCAACTGTCGAGGACCAGTCACTTCAATAATAGGG